TTTTATCTGTATCTTCTCTATTTTGTTTTTGTTCTCTCTTTTTTTTTGTTGCTGGTCTCGACCTATCTTGGTCGTCCTTTGTAAAGGTCGAGACAGCTTGGTATGTAATCAACTCGGGTAAATTTCACCAAACCCCCCTGTATTATACGAAATCTGCGCCTTATCCCCTTGTATTTTAAAAAATGCGCCATACCCCCTTGTATTATACTTTTGATTGCGCGTTATCCCCTAAACCATCTAACTTGACGGATGTGCATTTCACGCGCGTGTGGTGCGACTTTTTCTCCATTTTTTTTTTGCCATAAACTAATAGAAATGACTATTTTGCCCCTTAATACCTGAATCAAATTGCAATTAATTTAAACTTCTGAAAATTGCAAAGCAGCCCCTCACTTTAATCAAATTTTCAAATCAAGGTTCTGCAACATCAAATTCAAAACCCTATTTCACGCAGCTTGCTCGCCCATCGCAGGTAGCCGTCGTGTTCGACCTCCGACAAGCCATCGCCGCCACAGACCGGCATATTCTCGCCGGAGTTGTCGCCTGCGGTCAAAGCTGCGATTTTTTTATTTTGTTTTATTTTTTTTATATGTGCGTCCGCCATTAATGTCCGTACAGAAACAAACAATTGCAGGCTAACATATCAATCAAAGATTGAATCTTTCAAATAGAAAGCATCAGATCTGATAATTAAAATAAAAAATAAAAACAAAAACTTGGACAACAAAAATTTGGAAAAATTATACAAATTAATAAACCTTTGTATCAAACAGATCCTTAGATACACAAATTATTAATCTTCTGTATCAATCGGATCCTTAGAAAAAAGCAGATATACAAATTAATTACCTTTTTGTATGAAACATATCCGGTTCATCAGGGCACAGTGGATCAAGTTGATTCCAAATTTCTGTAAACACAATCCATTCATATGAATTGACAAATAAATTGGTAACAAATGAATAAAAATCATATCTTTTCAAGCTAGATCTGAGATACAATTAAAAAAAAATTAGTGTGTCCGCCATCTGTACGGGATGTCCATTTTTTCTCCATTTACTTACTGTAATTGTTTGTTTCTGAGGGCATAACGGGAAGTTAAGCAAAAAATTAACGGGGTTAACACGGAAACGAGGAGGGGGGAGCGTGCGCAATCAAAAGTATAATACAAGGGGGTAGGTCGCATTTTTTGAAATACAAGGGGATAAGGCACATATTTCGTATAATACCGGGGGGTTTGGCGCAATTTACCCTAATCAACTCTTAATGCAATATCTATGCCTTTTGATTCTCGTGATTGTCAACGCTTTTGCTTTCCTAATTTCTTCTATCTGCTTTTAGTCGTCATGCGTATATTCACGTCGGTGTTTCTTTTGATTGTTCTGAGTTTCTTCGAGTGTAACGTCTCGACCTGTCGTATCGTATGTCTTCTCCCAACCCTTCTTGGAAGCTGGTCGAAGTCGAGCAGTTGTTTTAACAACTTTATAGTTGTTGAACAAAAGTTTTTCGAGTCGACTTCTCTCAACACTTCTTGCGAGCTGGTCGAAGTCGAGCAAGTGTTTTAACAGTTTCATAGCTGTTGATCAAAAGTTTTTCGAGTCATCGTCTCCCAACCCTTCTTGCGAGCTGGTCGAAGTCGAGCAACTGTTTTAACAGCTTCATAGCTGTTGAACCAAGTTTTTCGAGTCGTCTTCTCCCAACCCTTCTTGCGAGCTGGTCGAAGTCGAGCAACTATTTTAACAACTTCATAGCTGTTGAACAAAAGTTTTTCGAGTCGTCTTCTCCCAACACTTCTTGCAAGCTGGTCGAAGTTGAGCGACTGTTTTAACAACTTCATAGCTGTTGAACAAAAGTTTTTCGAGTCGTCTTCTCCCAACCCTTCTTGCGAGCTGGTCGAAGTCGAGCGACTGTTTTACCAACTTCATAGCTGTTGAACAAAAGTTTTTCGAGTCATCTTATCCTAACCCCTCTTGCAAGCTGGTCGAAGTCGAGCGACGGTTTTAACAGCTTCATAGTTGTTGAACAAAAGTTTTTCGAGTCGTCTTATCCCAAACCTTTGTGCGAGCTGGTCGAAGTCGAGCAACTGTTTTAACAGCTTCATAGCTGTTGAACAAAGTTTTTTGAGTCGTCTTCTCCCAACCCTTCTTGCGAGCTAGTCGAAGTCAAGCGACTGTTTTAACAGCTTCATAGTTGTTGAACAAAAGTTTTTCGAGTTGTCTTCTCCCAACCCTTCTTGCGAGCTGGTCGAAGTCGAGCGACTGTTTTAACAGCTTCATAGTTGTTGAACAAAAGTTTTTCAAGTCGTCTTCTCCCAACCCTTATTGCGAGCTGGTCGAAGTCGAGCGACTATTTTTACAACTTCATAGCTATTGAATAAAAGTTTTGGAGTCGTCTTCTCCCAACCCTTCGTGCGAGCTGGTCGAAGTCGAGCAATTGTTTTAATAGCTTCATAGTTGTTTTCCTTGTGTTAATATTCTTGTGTAGTGTGTATGAGGTTAACTACAGCATTGTGGTTGTTTGGGCTGACTTTATGATATACCGACTTTATTGCCTACTCGAGTCTGCTCGAGAGTCACACCTTCATAGTTGTATCTGTCGACTTCGTAGTCGTGGGATTCATAGCCTATTCGAGATTCCACTCGATAATTACAACTTTGTAGTTGTATCTGTCGCCTTCGTAGTCATGGGCTTCATAGCTTATTCGAGATTCCACTCGAGAATTACAACTTCGTAGTTGTATCTGCCGACTTCGTAGTCGTGGGCTTCATAGCCTATTCGAGATTCAACTCGAGAATTACAACTTCGTAGTTGTATCTGCCGACTTCGTAGTCGTGGGCTTCATAGCCTATTCGAGATTCCACTCGAGAATTACAACTTTGTAGTTGTATCTGTCGACTTCGTAGTCGTGGGCTCCATAGCCTATTCGAGATTCCACTCGAGAATTACAACTTTGTAGTTGTATCTGCCGACTTCGTAGTCGTGGGCTTCATAGCCTATTCAAGATTCCACTCGAGAATTACAACTTCGTAGTTGTATCTGCCGACTTTGTAGTCATGAGCGTCAAAGCCTATTCGAGATTCTACTCGAGAATTACAACTTCGTAGTTGGAGTTAGCCGGCTATATAGCCATTTGGAAAAATTTAATTTTTTCTGGCAATCATAAAGAGATCGATGTGCAATCATTAAGAAGAATAATAGGAGCGTAAACTTGAAGTTAAATTTCGTTACTGAATTTGATTCAAACGTTGTTCAGTACAAAAGAGTTCAGAACATTATTTTAAACGTAAAAGCGCTTGAGATGGATCACATGCCAGGATTGCGGCAGCTGCCGACCTTCTCCATCTTCGAGTTCGTATGCCCCTCTCTCGAGGATCTTCGCGGCCGTGAAAGGTCCTTCCTAATTAGCTTCGAGCATTCCAACACGTTTGAGGGCATCTGCCCGTTTTAGGACAAGGTCTCCCACTTGGAAACGTCGGGTTCGA